CGAGCACCTCCGGATCTCTTCTAATAAGAGAATCTGAAGTTTTCATTCCGGAAAACTTTTCCTTGACCTGCCTCTCCAGAAAGAATTTGAAATTGAAGGCTTGAGGGTTCTTGGAAGGATTGTGGAACGGAGCATTTGCAAGTTCTGTAAGATCGACTTTTGTCCAGGAACAAAAGTCATGGGTATCCTTGTAGTATTCCGGAGGGCCATGGTTTCTTTTCACCAACCACAGATTCGAGTCAGCATTAAATCCCCACATCTTAATTCCCAATCGATTGCCAAATTTGTCACCGAACCTTCGTGTTTAAAGATCAGTCACCGTGAGTTGAGGATGTTCTGCACTACGGTTCTCATCGGAGTTCATCATGAAAAGTCATCCTTCTTTCTTCTCAGCAATAGTTTTTCTCTTAGCTAGCTTGATAGTAATTCGAGTGTTGGCATTGACAAGTTCTTTTGCGAATCGATCGACAATTCGTGTGGTTCTGGGAGGTGGTTGATCCACAGGGTTGTCATGATGAGGAGGCTGGATAGGGACACTGGAAAAACCTTCAGTGGCTGCAAGCTGTTCCACTGATGACTTGAATTTATCACCAAATTCTTCAAAAATTTTATTCTTCAAGTCATAATAGCATGCAGTTAAAGCTCCAAGGTGAGTCTGGAGATCTGTTATCTGCTTTGACTTGGTTTTGTTGTCTGCCTCAACATCCGAAAGTCGAACTTCGAGTTTACCTATCAAGAGATCTTTTTCAGTTAATGTCTGCTTTAACACTCCTATCTCGACCTTGAGCTCTGCATTGGATGGCTCTACACCCTCTGTGTTACCTTCCTCGATTGATATGCCTTTTCTGTGAGGAGGAAGGCCTGTTGCTTCTTGTGCAGCCAAGGCCATTGCAAGCCGTACAGAAGCAAGGTCATGCGTAGGCCTTGGTGGAGAGGAACCTCCAGGAGCTGAAGAGCTCCCGGTTTCTAAAATGGTTTTTGGTCCTTCTTGAGAATGAACAATTGGAGTAATAACTGGTGTTATGATTGCAGGCTGTGTTGATGAGGCCTATTCCTGAATTAGTACCCCCGGCCTCGGATCATGTCTTCTTCTCTTCAACGGAGGCTGGGAGGTTTGAGTCACAAGTGGTTCACTCACAGATGGCGTGGAAGTTGGAATGTCAACATTAAGGGGAGGAATCCTTGACGCTGCATCCGTATCAATTGGAATACTGGCCATCTGTTCAGAAGTAGGAGGCATTGCTTCTTGAACATTTTCTACTTCCCTTGTCTCTGTTGCTGGTTGAGCAACTTCATTAACATTGATAAAGAAGGAGTTGAGGTCCTCATTTGTTGGGTAATAATCATCATCAAACTCGAAATTCAATTCCTTATCATCATGACTAGACAAGTTACCGCTAGAAATCAAATCATCATCATTAAAACCATCATCATCACCATCACCACCCACATCTTGGCTCTCATTGAAGTCACTTTGTACCTCCACATATATCATATTATCATGTTCCTCTGCTACGATTGCAACAGGAGGAACTCTTTCTTCTTCGTGTTCGGAGACGGTTATGACATCATCTTCAGATTCCATGTGGTCAGAGGAGTCATTAGATTCAGATGCATCATTTAGCTCTGCAAACATCCCGAATTTCACCAAAGGGTATTTTCCTTCGAACAAATACTTACCCTTACGGTTATGTTTCATTAAACCAAAGGTGTTTGACCCAAGAGATTTCATGTCTAGTGTTTCTCCTTCCTTTTCAATCTTCGGGTAGTTGTTGTTGATGATCAACTGTAGGAACCTTGGGTACATAAGGAATTTATCTCTTTTCTTTCCTTCAATATTCCCGATCAATTCTTGCAAGATAAATTTTGAGAAGTTGAATTCAAGACCCGCGGCGAGAGCGACGATTGCACCCGTGTTCACTAGAGAAATTTCATCTGCCCCAGATCTCCTACCCGAGATGCAGCTCACAAAGACATGGGCTAGAAACCTCCAGTAAGTTGGTAACAACTTCTTGATGGTTGGAGGAAACTCTCCTTCATAACCCATATGTTTGATGATTTCTTCAGCTTGAGCCATTTCAATCTCAGTCAGAAAGCTTGGTTGGTCTTCAATTCTCAGAACTTCTCGGATGATCTTCTCTGTAACAGTAATTTTCCTTCCTTTAACAGTTGCTTCAACAAGTTTTGAGTCACCATCTCCTTTTCTCACCACAGAAGAGCTCCAAAACTCTTTAATTTGACTTTGGTAGATCACATGATTCAAAGTTAGAGCAAAAGCTAAGCAGCACTTCTTCAAACCATGCACCATTGACTTGAAATCACCATGGGCTGCTGGTGGGTCCACCAGAAGATAGCCAGGTTGTGACTGTCAGCAAACTTAAGTTCAGCCATTTTGATCTGCACTTAACCAAGCCAATAGAGAAAACATTAGATTCAAACAATTAAGTATAGGTTTTACTCCTTAAACAATTTAATTAGGCTTTTAATGTTGATTAAGTGTTAGAACAATAATTGATGTTCAAAATGTTTTTTGGGTTTACGGTCAAAGATAGTTTGTACGGCCGTAAACGGGTTTACGACCGTAAACCCTTCAATGGCCGTAAACGACTCAAGAGCCGTAAACGCCGAACTGTTCAAATTCTTCGATTAAACCCTTGATTCATGGACGTTTTTGTGTTAGATTATGATTTCGGTGATCGCAATGAGCATACCTACAAGAGTGAACAAGCAATTTCGAGTTAAAAACATGAATTTAGATGGATCGATTTAACAGTGATGAGAGGATTCAGGAGGGGTTTACGGCCACAGAGATGAATAGTGAGAGAGAAGAGTTTGCAATCGGACATGGAGGCTTTTATACCTGGACCCAAGACCCGGTCCAATATCCATGGACTGCAACCCAAAATGCTTCAAATATTAAGCCCAATACTCAAAAAAATTAAAAAATAATGCATTTTGAGGACTATAAAAATAAAAATAAAATAAAATAAAATAAAATCTAAGACTTCTAAACTAAACTATAAATTTTTAATTTTTCTGTTTTTCTTAGCAAAATAAAAATAAAAAATTAAAAAATAAAAAATAAAATTTAAAATTAAAATTGAAATTAAAATGAATTAACACTAATTTCTCATTTACCAACGCTAATAATATTTTTTATGAGATTGGGATCAAAGTTGTTAGACAACCCAAATCCGTTTATCGGTACCTCTACCTTCATGTCTAGATCTGGTCGATCCCCAGTATTGTGGTCCACATAAACACGAAAGATTGTGACAAATTTTTGACATACTACAAATGACAAGGCATTGTGACCTTATGTTTCTAGATAAAATTTCTAAGGACCATTAATCTGACGACGACCAAGGATATTGTTGTCCACCTAAATTGAGCAGCGAGATCTACAGACAACCTAGTGATTGTTCAATTTTAGATGTACTAGAACATGTTTCCCGCTTCTTGATATACCCCAATAATCAGGGACTTCCAAAATACTCCTTACTTTAGGTGAGCAGACAATTATTATGGGAGAAGTCAGATTTAGAATGCATATGTTGTACACCCAGATCAGATCTCTTCCAATCTCGCAGAGGGTGAAGCATATGACTAACCAGATTTAGAGGGATTGAGAAGTAGAATGGTGCATATGTTGTGTACCAGGTCGGATGTATTTCAATCACGCAAAGGAGACAACATATGGCTAACAGATAGGAAGAATTGCATAGATAGAAGATGCAGAGAAATAGAATTGCATATGTTGCAGTCCAGGTCGGATATATTTCAATCACGCAGAGGAGGCAACATATGACTAACAAAAAGAAAGCAAGAAAATAACGTTCTACAGACCTAATTTATCGGAATTCCCCAGTCGCCCCGTCAATACCAGAATTAAGGACAGAGTTCGTACATCGAGGAAGAGTTAAACCACGGTTCTAGATACGGATTGCTTTAGTGTGACCGATGGATTCTCATGTATATCTCCCTACCCAATCTACCCAAGCGTCGTATTTTCAGGCTAAATGGAACTATCTAAGTTAAGATTTGTCAAGTCTCTATATTCCTTAAGTTCATCTACACCTAGTGAAGTCCATTTAAATCTTTCGTGCCTACCAGCGCATCGAACACAGAGCCTAGACATTTCAACTTTAGTACATTACATAGATTCAGATTGCCTGTTATCACATGAATATATCACTTCCCAACAGACATATAAGAAAATAAAAAATTGTCTTTAAAAAATTGCTATCATCATCAGATGAATCAAATTTATTGGTTTTGTATTAATATATTTATAACTTGACAATTGTTTATCATTCTAAAAATCATTAAATAATTATTTAAAAATAGCTAGGAAAACAATCTCAATGTAAAGAAAGAGGTTCAATCTGACCTTTTCTCCCGGCATTTTTTAGTAAATAGTAGATGAATAGTGTGGTTGATTTAGAACTCCTACCTCAAAAAAAAAAAAAACTATGTCCATGCTATGTTATGACTTTTATTTGGCTTGAAGGACAAGTGAAATTACCAAATGATTTACATATTTGATTTATATGTTGATTTGGTGTAAAATTTGACTCTAAGTAGGTTGCTATTATTGCCTTTATTTGTTTTTAATAGCATCAAAATGCTATTTACTTCCCATATTGCTTCACCTAGTATAGCAATAAAAGCATCAGAATGCTTAGGCATCTCAAGTTTCCTTTTGTGCATATCTGCCATTGGTGGTCATTCCGCTCAATATCATCAATTGCAATATGCAGGTCGGTTTCTATCTCAATCACTTGTTCATATGAATGTTTGATGTATGAATAGAAACTATTGGTTGAATTTATGAATGTGATGATTTCAAATATATTATTCGAAGGTGCCTTTTACATTGCTCAATACAATCATAATCTGATTTAAAGTAATGTACTAGTTCATAAAAATAACTAATGTATTAAGAAGCCTAATATCAACTATGAAAATCAAGGAGTGATACAGTTGAAGCAAGATGCCATTTACACTCTAAAACAAGGAATGTCTACTTCTTCCTTTGGCACAAGCTTACCAATCAACTTAAGTAAAGAAGCATCTAAAGATCTAGCTTTGATATGATCAAGTAATAGTGATACAGTTGAAGCATTAACTGAGAAACCTCTTCCTTCCATTTCTAGTAAAAGCATCTCTACCATATCAGGTTTGCAACCTCTTCCCTCCATTAGCTTAAGCAAAGCAATGGTCGTATCATTATTTCCAAATCTGCAAAGCCATTTAATCATAGTGTTGTACATAATTGCATTAGGCTCACAAAGTCCTTCTTTGATCAGCTTCTTGAATAATTTTTCTGCATTGAGGATTCTATCTTCCAGAACAAGCCCATTTAAGAGTGTGCTAAAGGTGCAGACATCCGGTAATATATCATGTTTGAAGCCAAGCCTAAGACTACAAATCCTTCATTCATGCGATGCATTTGGCAGCAACACTTCATCACAATGTTAATAGTGTATGCATCCACAAGAACACGAAGGAGATTCATTTGTTTAAAAAGTTCAATCGAACAAGAATAGTGTCTTATCTTGGCAACAACTTGCAACAGCTCGTTGAATTTAATAACTGGTGGCAGAGGTTGCCTTTGTGTCATTTCATCAAACAGTTGGAGGGCATCATCCAGGCTGGTAATCTTCTCACAGATAGATCGAGGATGCTTAACCATTGTTTGCTGGTTGGAAGAAGCCGTTGAATGAGAACTAACTTTAATCATTTTGGGGATAAATATTCCGTTGCCCGATTGTAAAAATGACGAAGGATTTCTGAATGAAAGGATGGGGGAATGATAACTAAGGTGCCTTTGAATTTGTCGAGGGAACCTGACACGTTAAAAGAAGCAATGATTTTGGGTTTCTCTTTAAGCACCAAAACCATCTTCAACCGCGAGCTTCAACCACTTGGATTCACCATTAAAAGAGACTGGACCGCCTCTACTTTAATCATACAAGAGAAACCAAGAAATCGTATGCTCGCTCTCCTTTGTCCGGGTTCTGGTGACCGGTGAGGGGCTGAGACCCTGTTACTGGTCTTTTTGAGTCCTTTGCTTTATTTTGTTTCCGTTTTTATTTTTGCATCATATACTAAGCTCTTGGGCTTCAGTTTCTTTTCTGTTATGAGTCCTTTGGTTGCTCTCTCTCACCTGGTATATATAGGTGTTATCCTGATGTAAGAATTATCAATAATTTTATGAACTTCTACTATTCCATCAGGGTTGCCCTGTTGAAAGTCTTACGGAAGCCCTAATTCCATTGTTGAGCATAACATTGGTATCAGAGCCGCCATCATATGCCTGTGGTGTATGGTGAGGGTCACGAATGCGCAAATAATGGAGAAGTATGAAGAGATCAGTCGTAAGATTGAGAGTCAAGAAGAAACCTTGCAGGCGATTCAGGCAAGTCTTGCTGAATTGACAACCACTGTTAAAGCTCTGGTCATAGCACAGGGGAAAAAGGGGGTTAATGGAGCAGGTGCAAATCCATCTGACTTCTTGGATGGAGAGGGGTCTGGGGAATACTCTGGTGGCGAAGGGGAAAAGGGAGCATCTGCAAGTCATGGCACGAAGGGGTACCAATTGGTGAATAGGATGACTAAATTAGAATTCCCATCGTTTGATGGTGATGGCTTCAGAGATTGGCACTAAGTGCAACCAGTTTTTTGAATTGGACAATACTCCAGAGGACATGAAAATTCGTTTGGTAGCAATTCATTTGAAGGGTCGGGCACTCCAATGGCACCAGGGATTTATAAAGGAGTCGGAAGGCAATCCAGTGCCCTGGAAGACATATTTACAGGAGCTTAGGGAACAATTTTTTGAGGGAGTGGTGTCTAAAACTATGATTGAACTCCGGAATCTCAAACAATCTTCGACCGTAAGCGATTACAATTTCCAATTTAATGCCCTCCGTAATCAAGTCAGTGTTCCAACAGATATGTTACTCGATTTGTACATCGGAGGACTCTCAAATGAGATTATGCATACAGTCCAGTTATTGGATCCCAAATCCTTGAGTCAGGCAATGAAATTAGCCAAGCTACAGGCGCCTTGTATTCATTATGGGGATTAGACCCTCCAAAACCTCCCGAGTATACCAATCTCACTCAACAAACTTCTAACCTCGGTGCTAGAAACAAAAATGTTTCTTCATCTCCAGCACCCGCTTTACTCCCTGCACCTAAGTTCCTTCCATCTGTTCCCCCTGATCCGCTGCACAACAATTCACGACCCTCACCCTATAATCAACGAAGAAATAATAACCAGAACTCAACCATACCTAGGTCTGTTCCGAAAAATACGCACAACTTCCATTCTAACACCCATTATAAGGGATCATCGATGAGACAACTATCTAAAAAGTAACTTGAAGAACGGAGGAAGAATAACCAATGTTTTTACTGCAACGAAAGATACACACCAGGGCATAAGTGCAATAGTAGGCTCTTTATGCTTATTTGTCCAGAAGAGAAAGAGAATTTTATTGACGAAGAAGGGGTCCATGATTTGATTGATACCGAAATAAACGAAGGTGTGACAGGGGAAACTACAATTTCCATTCACGCTTTACTGGGTTCTTTGGGTCCCCAGACTCTTCAAGTGTGGGGTATAGTGAAGAAACAGTCTCTATTGATGCTTATTGACAGTGGTAGTACCAACAATTTCATAGACTTGGTGTAGGCTAAAAGGCTCGGCCTTAAGCTTACACCCATTAAACCCCGTAATGTGTCAGTAGCCGATGGGTTTAAATTGTCTATTCATTATGTTTGTAAAGAAGTATCCTGGTGTACCCATGGAGTGTCATTCAAGGGGGATTTCCTAGCCATACCGATTGGAGGATTCGGGATTGTGTTAGGAGTTCAATGGCTAGCAACGCTTGGGGATATAACATGTAACTTCAAGGAGTTATTTATGGAATTTCAAAGTGAGAACCGAACTATTCGGTTGGAAGGGGCACATAAAGGCTGTTTGGGGAATTCTACCGGTAAGACGCTTCATGGGGAGTGGGATCAAGATCAAGCATACCTTTTCGAGTCCATTGAGGGACCCTCTCAATTATGGTCCATCAAGTTAGAAGCTGCTGAATACACTGAACCTATGAGACGTAAGATGGAATCTTTGTTGAATGCTTTTGAAGATGTGTTTGCAAACCCGAAGTCCTTGCCACCCACCAAGCAACTAGATCATGGTATCACATTAAAGGAGGGAAGCAATCCAATTAAGTTAAAAGCATATAGATATGGGGCCCTACAAAAAACTATAATTGAAGAGTTGGTACAAGAGATGTTAAATTCTGTTGTGATCAGACCAAGTCATAGCGAGTTTGCTTCACCGGTGGTTCTGGTAAGAAAGAAGGATGGCAATTGGAGGTTTTGTGTTGATTACAGAAAACTCAATCATCTCATAGTAAAGAATCAATTCCCTATACCTATTGTTGAAGAGCTTATTGATGAATTGCATGGAGCTTGCTATTTTTCAAATCTAGACTTGCGGAGCGGCTACCGTCAAATAAGGATGAGGGAAACAGATATTAAAAAAACTGCTTTTAGGACTCATGAGGGGTTATACGAGTTTGTCGTTATGCCTTTTGGTCTTTCAAATGCCCCAACAACATTTCAACATTATATGAATTCAATCTTTAAACCATATTTAAGGAAGTTTGTCCTAGTTTTTTTTGATGACATCCTCATTTACAGTCAAAGTTGGGAGGAACACTTACAACATTTGGGTATGGTGCTTGAAATTCTGAGACAACAATCCTTATTCGCTAAATTTTCAAAATGCTCTTTTGGCAGCCGACTAGTGGACTATTTAGGCTACATGATTAGTGCTGATGGAGTTAAAGCGGACCCAAAAAAGATTGAAGATATGGTCACTTGGCCAAAACCAAAGAATATTAAAGAGTTGAGAGGGTTTTTGGGTCTTATTGGATACTATAGGCGGCTCGTAAGGAATTACGGAAAGATAGCAAAACCCCTAACGAATTTGCTCAAAAAGGGGTGTTTTATTTGGGGCCAAGATGCTGATGAAGCTTTTCATGAATTAAAGCAAGCTATGTCTTCTACTCCGGTGTTAGCCTTACATAACTTTGACAAACCATTTATCATCGAGACAGATGCTTCGGGTGCGGGTATAGGAGCGGTGTTAATTCAAAATAATCACCCTATTTCCTTTTTCAGCAAGGCCTTGGGCCCTAAACATTTAATGTTGGCCACATATGAAAGGGAATTACTAGATATAGTAGCTGCCATCCAAAGGTGGAAGGGATATGTGTTAGGCAAGCCCTTTGTGATTAAGACAGATCACCAAGCGTTGAAGCATATACGTGAGCAAAAGGAGTGCAATCGTACCTTGCAGAAATGGTTAAGCAAACTCATGGGCCTACAATACTCTGTGTAATACCAAAAGGGAAAGGAAAACGTGGTAGTGGATGCTTTTTCAAGAAGATCGCCTCCTTTGAGGTCAACCACTTGTATGGCCATATCAAGCATTTTTCTCGGGATGGCAAGATAAAATTCGAGAAAGTGTCTATACAGATGGAAAGCAACAAGGAATAATTGATGCACTCAAAGATGGTTCAGCTATATGGAGCAAGTACTCCATGGTTAATGGGTCACTCATGAAGCAAGGAAGGTTGGTTGTGGGTGATGATAAGATACTTAAATAGGACCTCATTACATTCTTTCATTCAATCGCGTCAAGGGGTCATTCTGGAGTCCATGCAACAACACAAAGGCTGTCAAATAAAGTCTATTGGAAGGGAATGCAAGCTGATGTAAGATCTTTTGTAAGGGAATGTCACGTTTGCCAACAATGCAAAATATGACACGTCGGCATATCCAATGCTGCTTCAACCGATTGAGTCATTTTATGGCCTTGAAGCACCCATATGTTGGATTAGGTGTCTAAGCCCATAACTATTTTGGTATGTACTTGACCCGATTATGAGCATGGTCCTTTTGGGTTACCTTCACCATAGCAACTGATAGGATGAATTAAGGAGAAAGAGGATTAATTATGATTTATTAATATATTATGTGAATAATATATTAAAAGAGAAATCGAATTGTTCAATTAATATTGATCAAGAATTAATTTAGAATTAGTTTTGTGGTCAAAATAGATTAATTAAATAAAGGGGACTGATACTGTAATTATAAGATAGTTACAAAGTTGGGCTTAGGATCCATAAGGATGCAATGGACGAATTCTATATGAGAGTCCATATAGAAATCGTCCAAGGGGCTTTCTGGAAGGATCCTTTGGACTGATTAAGGACTAAGCAACTGGATTAGGGTTTCCTAGTTGATAACCCTAGAAGCCTAACTATAAAAGAAACCCTAAGGCTCCCAAAAATCGCCCCTAGCCCTTCTAAGAGTGCCTTGGACGATTTTTGAAGCCTATCATCTCCTCTTTGTTCTTCTTTGTTGTTAGTGGTGTTTATAACTCCATTAGAGGTGCAACATTTGAGGCACTTAGCTTTCAAAGGTCAAGGATATTCAAGGAGAACTTGTTATTACTACATAACAAGAAAGGTAAGATCTAAACCCTAGTTTATATGTCAATTTGATTGTTATATGCTAGTTCTTAGGATCATTGCTTTGGTATTCAATATTGTTATGTTCATAGTAGAAAAACCTAGATCAAAGCTATTAGGGTTGCATGAACACAATAGGATTAATGTTATGCTCATAACCCAACAGTGGTATCAGAGCCTAGGT